GGGGGTCTGGGGGGTTTGGGGTGCCAGGGGGGGTTGGGGATTCCAGGAGTTTGGGGGGTTTTTGGGGGTTCTGGGGCTCTGTGGGGTTCGGAGATTATGAGGGATTGATGGGATTTGGGGAATTGCGGGGAATTCCAGGGAATTGCGGGGAATTGTGGGGAATTCTGGGGAATTGTGGGGAATTCTGGGGAATTGCAGGGAATTGCAGGGAATTCCGGGGAATTGCAGGGAATTCCGGGGAATTGTGGGGAATTGCAGGGAACTCCGGGGAATTGCGGGGAATTGCAGGAAATTCCAGGGAATTCCAGGGAATTGTGGGGAATTGCCGGGAACTGCAGGGAATTGCGGGGAATCCTAGGGAATCCCAGGGAATCCCAGGGAATTCCAGGGAATTGCAGGGAATTCCAGGGAATTCCAGGGAATTGCAGGGAATTGCAGGGAATTGTGGGGAATCCCAGGGAATTCCAGGGAATTCCAGGGAATTCCAGGGAATTGCGGGGAATCCCAGGGAATTGCAGGGAATCCCAGGGAATTGCAGGGAATCCCAGGGAATCCCAGGGAATTGCAGGGAATTGCGGGGAATTGCAGGAAATTCCAGGGAATTCCAGGGAATTGTGGGGAATTGCAGGGAATCCCAGGGAATTCCAGGGAATCCCAGGGAATTCCAGGGAATTGCAGGCTTTGGAGCCCACGGCCCCGCTGTGCCTCCAGGCTCGGCGCTGGCGTATTCCGCCTACGCCTTCCCGCTGGAATGGGTCGGGAGCACATTCCATGAGTTCTACGTTCCCGTGGCCGTGCTCAACTCCGCGCTCAGCACCGGCCTCGCCTGCTATTCCAGGTGGGATCGCCGGGAATTCGGGATCAGGCCTTGGCTTGGCCAGCCGGGACGTGGGGAAGGGGAAAGGGAATTTTTCCGTCGGGAAACGGGGAGGATTCGATGAGGGAAACGCGGAATAACAGGAGGAGTTTCAATCTTTGGGAAGTTCCGAAGGGGATTTGGGGGATCCTGGAATGTTTGGGTTGGGAGGGAACTTGGAGATGATTCAGGTCTGCTGTCCCAGATTCCCGGAGAAGCTGTGGAATTCCCTGTGTATCCCGTGTGGAATTCCCAGAGCTTCCTGGTGTATCCCATGTGGAATTCCTGGTGTTTCCCTGTGTATCCCGTGTGGAATTCCCTGTATATCCCATGTGGAATTCCTGGTGTATCCCATGTGGAATTCCCGGTGTATCCCATGTGGAATTCCTAGTGTATCCCATGTGGAATTCCCAGTATTTCCCATGTGGAATTCCCGGTGTTTCTCTGCGTAATCCCATGTGGAATTCCCTGTGTATCCCGTGTGGAATTCCCAGAGCTTCCTGGTGTATCCCATGTGGAATTCCCAGTGTTTCCCACGCGGAATTCCTGATGTTTCCCACGCGGAGTTCCCGGTGTTTCCCACGCGGAGTTCCCGGTGTTTCCCACGCGGAATTCCCGGCGTTTCCCACGCGGAACTCCCGGTGTATCCCACACAGAATTCCCGGTGTTTCCCATGTGGAATTCCCAGTGTTTCTCTGTGTAATGCCATGTGGAATTCCCGGCGTTTCCCACGCGGAATTCCCGGCGTTTCCCACGCGGAATTCCCGGCGTTTCCCACGCGGAATTCCCGGCGTTTCCCAGGTTTCTGGAGGCGGAGCGGCCCGGCCTGAGCAGAGCTTTCCGAACCCTGGCCTTCGTGTATCCGTACCTTTTCGACAGCATCCCGGTTTTCTACAGGGTGCGTGTCCCACAAAATCCCGGGAGGTTTCAGCTGCCTCGCCGGGAATTCTGTGGGAAAGCAGCCCCAGCTCGGGGCTCGAAAGGCAAACAGATTCCGGCAGGAATCGGCTCGGGAATAGTTTTTCCGGAGGATTGCTCCCACTTCAAAGGGCTGGAAAATTCCTGCCTTGGGAAGCGGGGAGGGGCCTTTTCCAGGGATTCAGCTGGAGCAGGGTGGGAATTTGGGGAGGCAGGAGTGGAGGTGATGGCGGCGGGGAGCTGGGAAGGGCTCCTTGGGATGGATGGATCAATCCTGCTTTTTCCTGGGAAGCGGGGCCGGAGTGGGGCTGAGAGGAGTGGGGAACTGGGAATGGCTGCGGCTCCTTGGGATCCATGGATCCACGGATGGGATGGGATGGATCCATGGAT